TGGAGGTTAGCAACAGCCATGCTGATAGAAAGCAGAATAGGATCTGTCAGACGATTAATAGAGAGCACTTTTGTTTTAGTGGCGTTAAAATTTAACCCTTAATTTCCCCAGTTAACAACTGTAGTTTGTTTTTTTTTAGATAAACTGCCAATTTCATCTTATCGAACTAGACTTAGTATCGAGACAGGAGTAAATGGTTGTGTCATCAGCATAGATATCAAGGTGAAAACCGATGTCATCATGAAAGTCATTGATGAAAACTAAAAACAAATTAAGATCAAGGATAGAGCCCTTGATCACACCTGCATTAGTACAGAAATACCTTGAAGATCGGCCATTTAGGACAACTCTCATTTCAAGATTGATAAGAAAAACAGAATCAATTCAAAAAATCGTCCAGAGACACTGTATCTTTTAAACTTGTGAAGAAGTTCAGTATGGCAAGCCCTGTCCAACTCTTTCGATATATTCAAAGCAACAGACCAAGCTTTACTTCTTGTCTGAAGCTTGATAGACTCTTTCCGCAATAATAAATACATGAGCAATTGACCCCGAAAAACGAAAGCCTTATTAATTGCCTGAAAGAAGGTCCTCTGTCGTAAAATGCTTAACTAATTGATTAGGCTTTCGATTAGTTTACCCAAGAGAGGCAGGAGCCTAATAGGCCGATAGGTGGAAAGGCCAGACGGTTCATCTGAATTCTTAAAGGTTGTAACAAGAAATGCGGATTTCCAATAATCAGGAAAGCAAGAGGAATTTATTATAAAGTTTAAAGAGCACAGGATTCAATTTGGGTGCACATTTCTTTAGGATTATTACAGGGATACTATCAGGTTCAAATGATTTATGGGGATCCAGATTAGAGATGATAGCAAAAACCATAGAAGGTTTTTATATGAATATTACTCAAGAGAAACTCAGTTGTAAGTGGAAAGTTAGGCAAGTGTTTTCCAAATGAGTGTAATTTAAAAAAGAATTTATGGGCTTTATCACCAGAAAAAATGAATGAAGAGAGGAAGAATAGAAAACGTACTTTTATTTTAATACACTTTTAAAGGGCCACCAGTAATGCGTCATTCTCTCAGCAAACAAAGACTTAGTTCTTTCAAGGAAACATTTACATTTATTACGTGCTGCTACAAACAGACGTCTGTTGTGATGAGAACAGTTCCGCTTGCAAAGGCTAAAACAATGATTCCTGTGGATGATGGCAGTAGAAAAAGCTTAAGAAGACTGGGGTTTCATCTGGTCTTTCCGAGAAAGAATAAAAGCATTTATGCCGGTTTTAACACATGAAGAAACCTCACTGGCGCAATACTTAATAGGGTGTTTAAAAAATATCTATCCAAGGAGCATCTCGAAGAAAGCCAAAAATTGAATCCTAATCAGCATGCTGGTAACGGAATGCGGTCTTACGAATTTCTGTCTACTAGATGGTTTGAACGAAATATCAATAGATACTATATCGTGATCCGAGTTGCCAAGAGGACAGTGTTGCGAAGCTCGAAAAAAGCTGGAAGAGGAAGTAAGAAACAAATAAATTAAAGAAGCATGTTGCCCAGGTTTATTAGGGAAACTAGAAGGAAAAACCACAAATTGAGTAAGAGACTGGGCAAATGGACCTATATGGGCAGGAAATGGTCAGTCTTCTCTTTCTGATCTTAAATGACTCAAAATCGTGTCCGCTTCCTTGGGGCTGACGAATTATTTTCAACTCTACAGCCACTTTTCCACATCGGAAAGCCTCCCGCTGCTCTATCGCCATTTTCATGGAGAGTGTTTTTACGAACTACACTTCCATAGTGCTAAAAGTTCTTCCTTTCTGGCCTGAGACGCCGATGATAGGCACGTTGAAGGGAACCAATCCTCATTCCCTTTGTATTCCTTTGGTGAGATGTAAGTTTGTCTGGAATAGCTTCTTACCACGTACCGCTGCTTCGTGGAACCGACTCTCAAGAGGATGCTTCTCCGATCATTACAAACGTAATCTCTTCAATTCTAGGGTTACATGTGGATCTCTGGCCTTGATCAGGTAAACATCATTGTAAATAGACACACACTCATTTCTCTTGCCTCTAATTTCCACTTCATAGAAAAGAATTGATATCAAATAGCAATTCAGCATTCTTTTATTTATTTCTAAATGATATGTCCCGGAAAGGGATATATTTGTTCGAAGTAGGAAAGTGGTTTTGGACTAATGTAAACGAATAAGACAATCTAGCAGGTAACCGTAATGGACTGGTCCTCGTCGTAGTGGTAGGCAATAGGCGTAGGCGTCGCCATGTACCTCAACATCAGTCTGTATTTATGGCTGACACCAGCCAATCATATTAATGTGAGGGGGAACCAGGTGTATGCATATTCATTACATCACTAACGAAACATTTCTGTTTCTTATTACTTTGTTTAGCGAATGGAATGCATTTTTAAAAATTCTTTTTCTATTTGCTGTTTGTGCCAGTACGTGTTAGAACTTACTTATCAATCAACCAGAGCACACATGAAGTGTTCTAAAGAACTGTCATGTTTAGAGTATCAGTTATTTCACTCACTCTAACCTTTTATCTAACCGAAAAATTCTTCGACGTATAATTCAAATGAAAAATAAAGAAACGATTTTCATGCAAAATATTCCAATTACACGAACATAATAGAAAGACCGCCATTATACAGTGATGGCGGAATGAAGTCACTACGAATTTTCAGATTTTAATACAAATGCTATCAAGTTTTCCATCAACTTGATATCCGTAATTTAATTTTTAAAAATAAATGAAGGATTTTTAAATGGAAAATGAAAACTATCTTTGAATAAGAAAAAAAAAAGAAAGAAATTAATCAAAGACAACATATAGAGTTATTGCAAAGGAACCAATTTTCATTACAGTTAATCATACATTTCCGAAATGGGACTTCATTGTCGGCAGCTACTAATTTCTTTTTAATTCATCTGAAATGAATTTCTGCATGTTTTCACGTTTATTCCTTGAACAATCCATATTAATTAAGCAAGTAGGTTTATAATGGCTCGCCAAAGACTCTTTTTTTTTATCTGCGATCTGGTATACCCTCTCGGGAAATTGAGTTGATTATTGTTGCTTTTTATCCCACGTTAACCTCTGCAAAATGTGTATTTCCGAATTGTATCCACCTTTTAAATAGCTGGTCAGTGGAGTTTCGAGAGCGACAACTTTACACTGCTGACGGATAGATGGCGAGAATAGATGAATTTTTCCAATGGCATTACTGTGAAAATGAATGCATGGGAGACGGGGGATTCACTTTCCACACTGATAATAGTTACACTACATGCAGTGCCTGTTTACCGCGCTTCTTTATGTTCTGTGTTCTTTCAGTATGTAAGCGATCATGGCATTCCACAACTTCGTTTCTTTTGTTGTTTTTAATAAACCATATCGGCCTGTTATTTTTTCCTAAAGCTTGCCCCACCCCCTTATTTACTCAAGCTCACTATATATGCTATGCATTGTTTTCCTCTGCCGCTCCTGACCTCTGTCTTATGAGCATCATATTTTCTAAAGCCCCTTCCCTTATTATGTGTCCTATATATATATATATATATATATATATATATATATATATGTGTGTGTGTGTGTGTGTGTGTGTGTGTGTGTGTGTAGATAGATAGATAGATAGATAGATAGATAGATAGATTAAAGTTACTCTATCTGAGAACGAAAAGGTGATCTATAAAAGACTTACTTCAACATGGAATATTCTCACCTGCCACAACTAGAAATACTGTGGATTATACAGAAAACAACTTAGAACGTATACACAGGAAATCATACTAATGCTTAACTTCTTGAAAATGACTAAAGAATTGAGCAAAAGCCGTTAGGACAATAATCACTACGAACAGTTGCTATATTCTGATAATAATCATAAATGGGAGGCTGTTAGAAGTTTATAAAAACACTCAATTAAAGATGAATAAAAGATTACTGCGTTTATATAGAAAATGCGATTTTTATATATAGAAATTGCGTTACATACCGGTTGCTATGGATAAAATGTCGCCTAAATGACAGAAAAATGTAAATAACACTGACATCTCATTTTAACAGATACATTTACCAAAATTACACAAAAATATCTTGAAATACTAAAGAGTATATTTATTCATTAAACTAGGATTCAACCATGGCCTCTAGACGACTTCGGAATTTCCAATATGTCTTTTGAACGGTCTCCTTGTGTAAGTTGTTGAATGCTGCCATAATCCTTGCCTTCAGAAAATCTTTAGTGTTAAAAGGAGTTCTGTTAGTGTCTCTCTCGACTTCGTCCCGCATATAATAATCAGGGAGTAAAATCTGGAGTGTTAGGTGGCCAGGTATAAGGAGTGGTGTGGTCACAGGAATTGACTGATACCGAGGACTGTGTTCTCTTGCATGTGTGGCATAGTACACAGTTCTGTTGCCAGATGTAGAGACCTCCAGCAGCCACCCTCTTGAGCCAGGATATCACTACCTCATCAAAGCACTTGATATAGGTCTCGGTATTGATTCTGAGCCCTCGTGAAAGGTTGAATGGAGGTATAACCTCGCCATCACTAGTAATCACACTAAACACCTTCGTAATCACCATTAGATTCATCCAACTCTTTCCGAATCCTCTGTACAGTCGTCAGATTGATACACAAATTAACTGCAATGTTCGCATTTGAGCTTACGGTGCGAATGCTAAGCAATTATGGCGGCAATTTACTCATCACACCTGATATATATATATATATATATATATATATTACAATGAATCATTCTTACAAAAAGTAAATTAGTAAAGTTAATGATATATATATATATATATTAAAGTGGGTTTCACAATGTCAGTGAACCACTCAAAGCAGAGGGTTACAGAGTAAGAAATAATATATATATATATATATATATATATATATATATATATATATATATATATATATATATATATGTCTGTGTGTGTGTATGTGTGCGTGTGAATTCGTCACCATAGGC